TTTGGAGTGTGGGAGGAAACCAGAGTACCCAGAGGAAAGCCACACAGGCACAGGGAGAACATACAAACACCAGGCAAGAGGTGCCGTGGCTGGGATTTGAACCAACGGCCCTAGTACTGCCAGGCGGAAGTGCTAACCATTTAGCTACTGTGCTACCCATGCTATGGATTCATTCATTCTTTCATCTATTGTTATAATACAACTTAACGTTCATGCTCATGAGCTGTAAATTTAATAAATATTATTCAGGGGTTCTCTGGGATCTGGGTTATTTCATGGGTTTCTAAAGTTTAAAAGGTTGATATAAGCTGGCCCATGGGATCTGAGTAAGGGATCTACGTAGGGGTCTATGGCAGGGGTGTCAAACTCCAGTTGCATCCATAAGACTAGGTGTCAAAAGCACCTCACCCCCTCTTACATCAGATATCAAGAGCCAACCCACCATCAGAAGTCAAGAGTCACCCACCCTCCGTTACATTACAGTGCACCCCCCTTATCTTGTGCTCCTGCCTGGAAGAAGCTGGGGGCAGATCTGGGAAGCAGAATGTTCAAGGTCTGGAGGAGGATCAGAGGAGGGCTGGAGTCAGCTGCTGGAGTCTGTTGAATGCTTAGACCAGGGGAGGTGGAGATGAGGGGGTGCTGCAGCAGCTTAGGCAGAGGATCTGTTTGTAGCAGGAGTTCTGTCCTCCTCTCTGCTGGCAACTGCTGAAATGGGTGGGGTTCAGAAACAAGCCACTCCACAGCGGAGGAGTCCTGTCCTCCTTCCTGCTGCCAACTGTTGAGACAAGGTGGGAATAAAGATATGGAGGGTGCTGCAGTTGCAGGAGACATGAGAGGGCCAAATGTAATGACCTGGAGGGCCAGATTCGGCCCTCGGGCCTTGTGCTTGACATGTGGTCTATGGGATCTCATTATGGGATCTCTATAGGAGTCTCAGTCTCTATCTATGGGATCTGAGTAGGGGGCCTCTGTAGGGCTCTCAGCCTCCATCTGTGGGATTTCTTTTGGAGTCTCAACCTCCATCTATGGGATTTCTGCAGGGGTCTCAGCCTCTGTTTATGGGATCTCAGTATGGGATCTCTATAGGTATCTCAGCCTCCATCTTCAGGATCTCAGTACTGGATCTCTGTAGGGGGTCTAAACTTTCATCTTTGGGATCTGAGTAAGGAATCTATGTAGAGGTCTCAGCTTCATCAAAGGGTTCTAAGTATGGAATCTATGAAGAGAGCTCAACCTCCGTTTATGGAATCTATGTAGGGGTTTCAGACTTCATCAATGGAAACTGAATATGAAATCTATGTAGGGGTCCTAGCCTCTGTCTATAGGATCTGAGTTTAGGATCTATGTAGGGCTCTCAGCTTCCATCAAAGAGATCTAAGTATGGAATCTATGTATAGAGCTCAGCCTCCGTCTGTGGAATCTATGTAGGGTTCTCAGCCTCTGTCAATGGGAAGTGAGTACGTAATCTATGTAGAGGTTTCAGCCTCTCTCTTGGGGATCTGAGTTTAGGATCTTTGTAGGGGTCTGAGCTTCAGTCTGTTAGATGTGAGCTTATGGGATCTAAGTATGAGAGCTATTTCAGGGTCTCAACCTTTGTCAATAGGATCTGAGTATGTGATCTATGTAACGGTCTCAGCCACCATCCATGGAATCTGCCAACTGGAGATCATTCTGACTACACTTGGTCTGAAATCCAATTTGCGAAATCCTCACAGAGTTTGCTGACAGATTAGAGGAACCATTCACTGTGGAGCACCTTGTAAACCCACCTGATCACCTACAGAGAAAACAAACCATTTTATCTCCAAAACTGTGAAAACTCCCCACAAAGCAAAACCCTCATTCAACAATTTTGGAGATTTTTTTGTATTGGTGAACATGACTTCTCCAGATCTTAGTCTGAGAAATGCCACCTCCAACCTTTCCACCAGCTAATTCCTCCAAACATTTTCACCATATGACCACCTACAGTGAAAATAATCCATCCACACTGATAAGTAGATCGATATGTAGAACAGCCACCATTTTCGGTGGAGGTGGGACTGTTCATCCAGGTGGTGCCATTTACTTAATTTATTCTTACATTTTTTACGATTTTGTGAACACAAAATTAAAAGCATTGTTACTGCTGATATCGGAACCATGGGTGGCATAGCACATCGGAGAATGGGTTGTATTACAATGGAAGTTTATCACTTTGTTGATCATTTCTGTGTATTATGTGCGCATACAGTCTCTGCACACTGTAGCTGCGGTCAACCCCCTGTATTTTAAGGATGCCACTATATGGATGGTCAGTAGCTGCCATTTTAACCTTTTCTTCACGGATTAACTTTTGAAATAACATTCCAGGTTCAGAGAAACCCTTCCAATAATGAATATATCCACAGCTCATGGTATATTAGTATGACAATCACTGGGAAGAATGCTCCTTACATTTGTGGTTATCTGCAAAAATCCCATTCTTACAGAGATTTAAACAATCATTGGTATCAGTGGTTACTCAGCTGAGAGGCAGAAGTTGCTTATTACTCAAGGAAACCCTAGCAACCTCTGGAGGAACCCTAGTTGAGGAAGATGAAAGAAAGAGCGCACAAACCTTGCGCATTACCTCAATAAATAGTGACTAATTTTATTAATAAGGAAATATACTCACAAAATGATGGTATAACAGGCATAAGTAACCATAATCCAAACAGGGTTACAGGTAAATCAAAAAGGGGGGGGATGAAGGCTAACGCGTTTCGAAGGGTGCTCCCTTCTTCATCAGAGCTGGGTTTGGCCGATAGAAACTTCAGTATGGCAGAGTTCCCATGGAACAGGCTGAACTGCTGTAATACTGACACTCAGTGACTGAATATCTCCTTGCCATGGGAACTCTGCCATACTGAAGTTTCCATCTGCCAAACCCAGCTCTGATGAAGAAGGGAGCACCCTTCGAAACGCATTAGACTTCACCCCCCCCCCCTTTTTGATTTACCTGTAACCCTGTTTGGATTATGGTTACCTATGCCTGTTATACAATCATTTTGTGAGTATATTTCCTTATTAATAAAATTAGTCACTATTTATTGAGGTAATGCGCAAGGTTTGTGCGCTCTTTCTTTCATCTTCCTCTACAGTTTTATTAAGCTTCCCCAGCTTCATGATAGAGCTGCACAACCTCTGATCACCAGCGGATGAACACACAACACGCTGCTTGTTACTAACGCCTGTTTGATCTGAGTCCTTGAGCGCAGGAGATAATGGATCTTTGGAACCCTAGTTGAGAAAGGCTGGCCTATAGGTACAAATACTGGAATGGATCAGGCTAGAAGTCCAAGCGCTGAACAGGGCCCTCCATTGGCTTGTGTGGATGGGGTTATTGTCAAACTCCACTGCATTGCAAATGCAGTATTGCTCAACAATGTGAATCTGAAAACGCAAAAGGCAGCTTTGGTCCATTTTTTCTGGAATGCTAATGTATGTCATTGGGATGTGCTGAGTTCAAAGAAATGCAACGCAAAGCAGGTCATACGCAGCTTCAGGGCTATCATTCACCTGGCACCATTGGGATGAAGGAAAATTAGCTGAACACCATTTGTTGGCATTTCAAACACATCAAACACAGGAAACCAACGCCCAGCCATGTGAGCTCCAAACACATTCTTTGAACTGTAATGGGGAGCCAGTCCCAATTTCATGGCCGGACTTCTGCCCAGGGCCTTGGGTCCCATCTAACAATTCTTATTCATCCCGGGACCTTTCAGGCTGAATGGTCCCTGCTGGCATGAGACACGAATCCACCATCTAGAAGACCTTCAGACATCCTAATCCTCATGTTTGGCAAACATATAACCGCTGAGACGACGTTGCTGTATGACATCTGCGTCATCCCGCGGGCAGCGCTGGGCTCTCGCTGTAACCAACCACTTACTGTGTATTCTGGCCAGTAAATATTAGCTTTTGTGTCAGATTTTGTTTTTCTGGCTGTCAGCAGGGGGCTTTGTCTGCAAATCCACAATGAAATAACAATGACTATGGCTGTGGTCTCTCTGTGTACAGAGAGCGCCCCACGGAGAGCGCGGGATTCTGGGAGCGAACCTCAGGCAGACTCTGCCACGTTTTCCTTCATCAATAATCTCCAGATGATAAACACAGCTATTTCTGTCTGTTTCCTAACACACAATACAAAACATTTACGTGACATCAAACGGAACATGTAAAGAGAAGAGATGAATGTCTTTTGCCGGGTGTATTTTGTCCTGGAGACGCCTCCGTCACATTTGTGGCCCCATTGTGCCATCTGTGTTTAACCGGAATGTCTATGGAAAACACATTACAAAGCTAAACTCTGCAAAATCAGCTAAATACACAGAAGAAAAACATTTATGGGAGCTGTTTTACTTTCCATAGAATTTCTATTTCTGTCCGTCCAATCCTGAGATTTATACATCATTTTCTCTTTTACGGTTACATACACCCAACTCTCTAGTTAACCAAGTTCCCTCCTATGTGAAGACTGCCCACTCGTTGCCCCAGACCCTGTAACAAATGCGTTATCCAGTTACAGAGTACATCACCTGGGGTTCAAGATGTGGCGCTGTTTTGGTAAATCTGGGATAGCTGGAATATATGCAATTATTGACCGCAGAAGGAATACAGTGTTGTCTTCAATACACTCCCTGCTTGCTCACTCGACAATGAGGAGGCAGTAGGAGACTGATCAGGTCATCTCTCTGCTCTCTCTTCCTGTCAACAGGCTCCCTGTCAGCATATTTGCATGAGGCTTATCTGATTGGCTGTCATCCTACTCCTCCCTCTCTCAGTCTCAGCCCTGCTTTACAGGTATTGCAACAGGTCACATTCAGGTACTGGGGCTGCATGTAATCGCTTTACCGCCCCCCTAAAGCAGATATACTGCTACAGGGGTGCGCAAAATATATATATATGTGATTTTGCATTTCTGGGTAGGGAACGCGCACGAGCCACACATGCGCCCTTCCCGGGCCGCTATTCAATCGGCTATCAATCACCAGGTCCTGGCCAGTGATTACTCGCCAACACCCAGTGATCGAAGAGCATTACAAATGGAGGGAGAGAACTGTAAGTAAACAAAACAGTTCTCTCCCCTGTCAGCTCCTGCACACTGCTTTATATGGCTCTGGATAGGAGAGCCATGCAAAGCACTGTGCTTACAGTGAAGCGCACACACAGCTTACAGTAAAACAGCACACAGTTAACCCTTTGATCTCCTCACATGTTAACCCCTTCCTGCCCAGTGCCATTAGTACAGTGTCAGAGCTTTTTTATTACAACTGATCACTGTATTGGTGTCACTGGGGATGTCAGTGAAACATGTTAGTTCCCCCCACCAGTGTCAGAATGTCCGCCGCAGTCTTGCTATAAGTCGCTGATCGCCGCCATTACTAGTAAAAATAACAAATAAAAATTCCAGTATATATACAGACATTTGTAGGCGCTATTTCACGTAAACCAATTAATTTACACGCATTTGGATTTTTTGTAGCAAAGACATGGAGCTCAATACATTTTTGCTTAAATTTATGACGAAATTTGATTTTTAAAAATTTTTTACTGGATATGTTTAATAGCAAAAAGTCAAACATATTGTTTTTTTTCTCAAAATTCTCTCAGTCTTTTTTTTTATAGCACAAAACTTAAAAAAACACACAGGCAATCAAATACTACCGCAAGAAAGCTCTATTCTTGGGAAAAAAGAAAGTAAATTTCATTTGGGTGCAGGGCTGCAACGGTAATGCAGCGTCATAACGAAAAAAAATGGCCTGGTAAGGAAGGGGGGTAAATCCTTTGGAGGTGGAAGTGGTTAAAAGAAATATATTTAATGATGTATTAATGAATACACAGCTTCATTAATTTGTGTACTTTATGCCTGCCTGGAGTGTAGCTGTAACAGATTGAAGGTAGGGAGACCCAGGAAATCTTGGAAACTCCGCCGGCGCCGCTGGCCTCCAACAGATCTCAACTCTGGTATTCCTCGTATTCGCACTCTTTAATATTTTCTCTCCAGTCAGCATTCTGAAAATATTTTATCAGAAAGCTTAATAACACCTCTCCTTACAGATAATTTATCATACGCTCTTACAAGGACAAATGGCTAAATACACATCCACTACCTCTGAAGGTTTATTGGGATCATTAAAAATCTCATCTGCTTGGAGAGCGTCTCATCTACTGATTTCAGCCTGGAATGGCTAATGGATGTCATCCTACTGCCTCTATACACACTGCTGGAAGGGGGGAGTTGTATAATTTTCCAGCCAAACAAATATCAGCTTTCAGCAGCTCAGTGCATCATCACACTAATAAAAATGTTTTTTGATTGGTTGCTGTGGGCTTTAACTGGTGTCGCAGTGAATATCTTGAAGAAGGAAGGAGGCCACAGGTTTTCCAATCGTAGTGTTTTCATCTGGCCAGTAAAAATGGGACTTGTTGCCCACATTATTAAAGTGATACGAAACACCCACTGTTTAATTTACATTATCCCTTTTCTTTCTGTATATGGATGATGGCACTGTAATTATTTTAACTGAAAAAATATATATACATAAGTACCTTTTTTCTAATTGATATACAGCTGTCATGTGACCCAGACCTTTCCCAGCCTTGTCTGCAGGTAAACAGGGAAGTGAAGCCTCCATCAATCAAGATGTATTATCCCACCCCCACTGCGTTTAGCTGGTTAGTGGGCATGGAAGAGGAGGGAGGGAGAGAGCTGTCATTTACCACTGTGTTAACCACATGGGCAGCTCAGATGTGATTGAGAGGAAATGCTCAGCATAGAAACTCACTGAAAACTAAGCATATGCAGTAGCCGCCTACACTGCTCTGTAAAATGCCCAACTGTATTGGGGACATGGACAGAAGGGGGAGACAGAGAACAACAAGGTTTTTTGCTGAAAACAAATGTCATAGTGAATGAGTATGAACAGCACGTAACACAGCATTTATTTTATTTTAGGTACTTATACAACGCCATTAATTTACACAGCACTTTACATACAGTATATTATACATTCACATCAGTCCCTAACCCTCAAGGGGCGTACAATCTAAGGTCCCTAACTCACATTCATACATATACTAGGGACAATTTAGACAGGAGCCAATTCACCTACCAGCATGTCTTTGGAGTGTGAGAGGAAACCGGAGGACCCAGAGGAAACCCACGCAGGCACAGGGAGAACATGCAAACTCCAGGCAAGTGGTGCCGTCGTTGGGATTCAAACCAACGACTTGTGTACTGTCAGGCAGAAGTGCTAACCACTTACCCACTGTGCTCCCCATATTTATTGATAGTTTTTTTTATGATGTGGGTTTAGTGACATTTTGATAGGAAAGGGAATGTAAAGCTAGAATTATGTCAGAGAAGAGATAGTATTGTTAGTCATTGTCTGTCCTGAGTTGTGTGTAGATTGCTGTGTGTGTTGTCACAAAGATTAGGCGATGGCCAGGCTGTGGCTCCCAGCTGCTGGCAGTGTGATGTTGGTTCCAGTACAGAGCTGCTCATGAAAGAATACAGCACCCCAGAGAGACGATTTATAAACTTTAACCGGCTCCAGCATCCCTCCACTGAAAATAATAAATTCCGCTGTGCTTTTGGTGGAGTACATTATAAATGAAAGCTCATAAAAGTCCTATAAATTGGTCATGATATCTGCAAGATAGATGTCTGTGGGCTATTTTCAGCTGAATCAAAAGAAATGAGAAGAGAAATGACAGCAAACAGCACTGTAAACGGGCAATGTGAATATAGCAGGAAAGGAAGATTCTGGAGTTTATAACTAGGCCACAAACTGCTCAGGATGATGACAACCTGAGAGCTACAGAAGAGATGCTCATGTGCTAGAACCAGACCCTGTGTGATTGTCTCACCGTCTTCTAGGAAGTGGATGGAATGAGAGAGATGGTATGGTGGAAGGACAGGAGAGATGGGTCAGACATGTAGTGTGCAGTAGGACAGGAGAGATGTGTGAGAGGCATAGTGTTCAGAAGGACAGGAAAGATATGTCAGAGGCATAGTGTGGTGAATGACAGAACAGACGGGTCAGAGATGTAGCGTGGACTAAAACAGGAAAGATGGGCCACGGACAAAATGTGGTGTAGACCAAGAGAGCTGGGTCAGAGATATAGAGAGATTTACTAAAACTGGTGCACTCAGAATCTGGTGCAGCTGTGCATGGTAGCCAATCAGCTTCTAAATTCAGCTTGTTCAGTTAAGCTGCGGCGATAAGACCTGGAAGCTGACTGGCTTCTATGCAGAGTTGCCCCATAGTGTGGATCAGGACAGGAGAGATGGGTCAGAGACATAATGTGGATTAAGAGAGGAGAGACGGGTCAGAAACGTAGTATGGTGAAAGACCAGAGAGATGGGTGAAAGATGTAGTGTGGTGTACAGGGGCGGACTGACAACTCATGGGGCCCCCAGGCAATAGGGGATCATGGGGCCCCTGTGTCCTTACCCAAACTCAAAAAAGCCTATGAAAAAGGTACCAGGGGCATCTCATGGGGCCCTGACTGACCCCGGGCCCTCGGGCAGTGCCCGAGTTTCCAAATGGTCAGTCCGCCCCTGGTGGTGTAGGATAGGAGAGACGGGTCAAAGGTGTAGTGCAGAATTGGACAGGAGAAATTGGTTAGAGATGTAGTGTGGAGGACAGGAGAGATGGGTGAGAGGCAGAGTTTTGAGAAGGACAGGAGAGATGGGTGAGAGGCATAGTGCAGTGAAGGACAGAACAGACAGGTTAGAGATGTAGTGTGGACTAGGACAGGAGCAACGGGCCAGAGTCAAAGTGTGGTATAGGACAGGAGAGTCGGGTCAGAGATGCAGTGTGGAGTAGGATATCAGAGATGGGTTAGATATGTAGTGTGGATTAAGACAGGAAAGATGGGTCAGAGATGTCGTGTGGAGTACGACAGCACAGGATAAGTGAGAGATGTAGAGCAAAATAGGACAGGAGAGACAAGTCAAAGACGTAGTGTGGAGTAGGACAAAAGAGACAGGTCAGAAACATAGTGTGGTGAAAGACCAGAGAGATGGGTGAGAGATGCAGTGTGGAATAGGACAGGAGAGATGGGTCAGAGACGTAGTGTGTAGTAGGACAGGAGAGAAGGGAAAGGGATATAGTATGTAGTGGGACAGGAAAATGGGTCAGAGACATAGTGTGCAGTGGGACTCACAGTCTTCTAGGAAGTGTGGGGTAGAATGAGAGAGATGGGGAAAAGACATATGGTGGAAGGGCAGGAGAGATGGGTCAGACATGTAGTGCGGAGAAGGACAGGAGAGAAGGGTAAAGACATAGTGTGGAGGACAGGAGAGACAGGTCTGAGACGTAGAGTGGAGTAGGGCAGGAGAAATGGGTCAGAGATTTAGCATGGAGTAGTACAGCAGAGATGGATCAGAGAGGTAGTGTGGAGTAGGACAGGAGAGATGGGTTAGAGATATGATGTGGAGTAGGACAGGAGAGATGGGTCAGAGGCTTAATATGGAGTAGGGCCAAAGAGACAGTTTAGAGATATAGTGTGTAGTGGGACAGGAGAGATGTGTCAGAGACCTAGTGTGGAGTAGGACAGGAGAGACATGTCAGAGACAGAGTGTGGAGTAGGACAGGAGAGATGGGTCACAGATTTAGAATTAAATTGGATAGGAGAGGTGGATCAGAGACCTAGTGTCGAGTAGGACAGGAGAGATGTCTCAGGGATGTTGTGTAGGACAGGAGAGATGAATCAGAGATGTAGTAATAGTAGATGTCTTGTGTCACTGACAGCACAGCTCATCTGAAAGAAAGGAGAATTGTTTGAATGACATGAAAATTGACACATTATAATAAATGTCTCCTTTCAGAAGAAAGGTTTGCATGGTACGGCGTACATACATCATGACACTGCATCCAAGAATCAGCTATTTTCATAGTATCATTTAGCAATGATCATGGTCGGCCCAGAAGACATATCTCAGAGGATGATTGAAAGGACTCCAGGATGATCAGATTGTTACAAGCTTAGGCGACTCTTGAGAGAGTAATTGGAGGAAGCTCAGATAGAGACCATGATGGAGTAAAATGGGTCAAATCCAGCAATTTGATTAGTTGATGGAAACATAAAAGTTACCAGCTGTCCTGCTTCAGTGTCACTCAACCAAGTCCAGGGGGACCATGTGCTACCGGTCATTATGATGTGTGGAGAGGGCCTCTGTCTGAGGAATGCAGCCAGCATTAGATGATGTGGAATGGGGAGTTAGTATCAAAGTCCTGAAACCTGGTCTGCACATAATGCCCAATGGGGTTGTCCCCTCTGTCTAGTACATTGGGTTTTAAACAGCAACACCTCAGCTCCCTTCTCATACTAACACAAAGGATACAGAACACTTACAGGTCTT